TTTGTTTTTTTTTAATTCCACAGGGACGGAGTCGTTGGCGAAAACTAGTTATTTATACTTTAATAAATAATAAACAAATGTAGAAGAAGGAAGAAACTCAATGTGTTATAAATGTACAGTACAGTACAGTCAGCTGCAGAAACAGCAAAAATATTTAGACATCGAAGGCTCGTACAGTTTTTTTTTAAGTTTTTTATACATAATTAGCTGCTGACTGTACCTCAAGTGATCATAAACACAAAACTGTTTACAGAACAAATTCGAATGTTCGAAATTTAAAGTGAATTAAGCCTATATTTTATAGCACGTCATAATCTTATTATTTTTATCTACAAGCAATAAAACTGTTAATTTACTTAATTTAAGTACCAGAAGATTTGTTGGTGGTTATTCAAAAGATATCGTTATCATAACAAAAATTCGTAGATTACGTCAAAATGTAAGGTTACTGATAGTCGTTGTGATCAAACTAAAACAGATATGATAAGAGGAGAAAACTAAATTCCGTACCAAATGCAGTCGATCGTATAGTCCAGTTATAATTCAACGATAACATACGCTGGACTGGAATAATGTAAACCAATCAAAATATTATAATCAAGATAATTCTAATGATGAACTTCCTAATTATTTAATAGTAGCTGTTGCCTGCGACTTGTCCAAGCAATATTAAGATAAAAAATTGCCTATAATATGGCCATCTATGTCACCTAGCGTTCAGTGAAAATCCGAAGTCGGTCAGTCGTTTCGGAGATTACCCGGAACAAACGCGGTGTGCGTACAGGAAGACAAAAAAAATTAATGCGATTTTCGTTATTAGCAACGCAAATGCATCATCTTCCCGAAATCTGTAATTTTTCTTTTGATATTACAAACAGACACTACAATTTCGTTATATTAAATAACTTTCCACGGCTACCAAAATATCTAATTGGTATAATTCAGAAACGTCTTAGAAACGACGACGATAAACAATAAGAGTTCGGGAAAATTGAATTCTTGATACGATTGTAATTGATGGTCCCAGTAAATATCACGAATATAAAAATAGGGAACGGCAATGAATAGAACATTGCTTTCTATCACGCAACTAGAACTAACAAACCAATAATTTGTTAATCTAATTGTATTTGAAACATCGCGAAAAAACAGGTTGTTCGTGTAACTTTTTACAGTCATGTTGTAGAATACTCTGTCCTTAACGGTATTTCCAAACAGTTATGATGCATATGTTGTTCCCTGGCGTTACAAATGCCCGTGAGCTTGGAATTAATTAGCATTATGCGATCCACGGCTAGTTTGAAAACCTTTCTTTTGTAATATTTTGTTTATTTGTTTTAATGCCATTTTACTACAAAAAGCTATATAGTTATGGAATTTCTTGATGCAAACTGATAGAGTTTACTTTACCTGTGGATCACAAAAGACATTTGGTCCAGAAAATAGCTTGTTAAAACGATGTTACCTCGTGTCAGATAGCAGAATATTGACTAACGTAATATGAACTACACCAATTTGAAAACCGTTTATAAGCTAACTCGTTTAATTCTGTATAGAGAAAGCTATAATTTTTCTAATGCATGGATTTCTTGTTCTAAAGATTTATTTAGTTTTACGGATTTGATACAGTAGTTATTTTGCTATAATTAAAGTTTTATTATTGGATTCAAATAACTTCAGAAACGAGGTTTAGGATACACGCCATCTGCACTCGGCCACCTCAAGCCCGGTGAATCTAAATGCCTACTCAAGGCAAACAGTGGCCATTCAGTCACAAAAAAAAGAAAAAAACTACTTCAAAGTCTTGTAAGGTGAAATTCCTTTTGCGCTGTGATGTATTTTACTTGTTCTTATTGTAATTTATCGTAACTGAAGTAAAATCGTTTGTTTCATATCAGTATTTGCTTGTTTGTGGTTTGCCAAATTGCACTTTATATGAGTCTCGTATAATCCTAAATCGTCAATAAAAGTCAAAATGAAATCTACCAACTGTTTCAAATAAATCTCGATGTCTAACGTTACACGTATTGTTAGTCTAGTAATAAAGTTCGTCAATGATTCTAGATACAGCCGGTTTTAGCATTACTGATTTCCTGGACGAGATTACTACAGCGTCTTCTAATTATCATACAAACCCATACGAAAAAAGTATGGCATTCCTTAGTATACGATACCCTGGACGGTTGCCTTACCTCACCTTAACAAAACGCTGCTACTGATTCTACAAAATTGTTCTTGTAAGGCAATTCAATTTTTTTTCTAAATGGATGGGGATTTCTTCATCAATACATGAGTTTTAATTGTCATTAATATTATCTTTAAGCAGACTATTGCGTGCGTATTCCGATATTATAAACTTTTAAAAAACAACTTTGGAAATATCAGCGTCATTGAGTCTGAGACCGATGGACCCGTTTGCTTGTGATTCAATAATTGGAAAGTCAGTTGTAATGGGATTGTCTAATATTTCAATTGAACGATATTAATCTGGTGACTGGGTCCAATCAATAACGCCGTCGTTCACATCTGATGTTATTAATTCTAATGTATTCAGAAATCCAATTATTCAAGCTTTACTTTGGCTTGAATTAAACTATAAAAAAGTTCATTTTTGTAATATACATTGTAGAAAGAACACTATTTTAATTTACGAATGAAAAAGATTGAGTTATAAAGAGAGTCTCGCAGTAGCCCGTTATCTGAGGGTCCTTTAATTTCATTTAATTTCATGGTAAGCGAGTAACCTCAGAAACTGTGGTGACGACATTAAAATATTTAATTATAACCTAAATGATAAAACAGAGACCAACGTAAAGGAATTGTTGCCCCTAAGCATAAACTGCTATATTTAAATATGTTTCAGCATTAAATGTAACAGGTAAGAGTTTCATAATGACGTCAAGGCCATTAAAATTGGTGCCGGAGGCCTAATTTTAGTCCCTTTCCCTTTTCATCTTTTTCTTAAGAGGAAAGGATGGGAAGGAAAAGTGGATTTCATGTGAAGGAATTCGTGTGGATTTCGTGGGAAGGAATAGTCCCTTTCATGTGCGTCTCCTCCTTCGTCAATCTAGGGTAGGCAACGCATCTGCAATTGCGGATGTTTATGGGTAGCGATTGCTTTCCATTTCGGTGGATTCTGGTGGCCGCTTGCTCGTTTGCCACCTTATATTATAAAAAAAAAAATTGCTCGGCTACGCAGGGCAGGACTTGTAGCGCGGATGAGTGATTGCAGAGTGCCCAGACACCTATTAGAGAATGAACCGAAGGGACGTAGATCACGCGGGAGACCGAGACTAAGATGGCTACATGATGTCGAACGTGATGCTAAGAATATCGATATCAAGGGATGGAAACAAAAAGCCCAAGACTGATATGGAGAAATTTACTGGACCCGACCCAGGCTCACCCGCTGCTGTAGTGCCTCTGATGATGACGAACAATTTCAAAATAGATTAAAAAAGCAACTAGCTTTCGTCCGCGACTTCTACCGCGTAGAATTAAAAACAACAAAAGTGAGTAACCTATGTATTCTTCCAGATTATCCTCTACATCTATCCCAAATTTCATTGAAATCTGTTCATCCGTTTAGGCTGCAAACACTAACAAACATCCATCCATCTAAACTTTGACATTTATATTAAGTATGATATGATATACAAGATAAAACTTACATCGAGTTTTTTAAAGCTCATTTCCTTGTATATAAGATATTGAGTTAAGAAAAACAAAAGAAAAAGTAAAGCAAAAAGAAGCCGAGCAAATGATAGACTATTTTCGACAAACGTCACGAAATCGGAGTTGGGCTGATTGAATATTTGCACTTGAATGGAATCGGTTCCTGTCCCTGGAGTCGTTAACATAATTACACATGTCATAAATCATTGCATTCACAATATACCAAACACTTCATAAGTAATTGATACCGATACTTCAGTTTCAATCGATGTTTGATTCGGAATTAACACGAATCGATTTACCTTTTAATCGATAAGAGTAATGGAGATTTAAATTTATTTTCCTTAATTCGAGTACTTAAAGTAAATGTACCAGTTATTAGCTCTAGTAATCTTACTAAAATTATTTAAGTTTAGATGGATGTTTGTTATAGTTTGTAGCCTAAACTGCTGAACGGATTTCGACGAATTTTGGCATACATGTAGAGGATAGTCTGGAAAAAGACATAGGCTACTTACATTTTTCTTAATTCCACGCAAACGGAGTCTGGGGCAAAAGCTAGTCTTATTTATAACTATGGTTGGTTGTATAATAAAAGAGGTTTCACAATAATATTTAACATCATTTATTAATTTTAATTTTAACGAGATATTACTAGCAATAAATCTGTTTATCTAAATAACAAAATTTAATTTTATTATAGCGAAAATACCTAATTTATTAATTACATTACATTACTGTTAACAATAATGTATTAACAACATCTATACATAAAAAGCAGTTAATTTACTCCGAAATAAAAACGAAATCTGCTCCATTTTCCAATAAACTTAATTTCAAACTTTCAAACTTAACAATAATAGTAAATACAATATTTTACAATACATTATAACGTTTAAAATAATAAATACAAGGATATTGAAAGTTCGAAATTGGGCTCAACAGTTTATTGGGAAACAGACGCTAATTTCGAGCTACATTTTATATCTACATTACTTATTTAATTACCTATAAACATAGGCCTTTTATTTAATACTACTTGCGTTTAATCTATCAAAGATCCTACAATATTATATTCGGAAAAACTAACCTATTACTATGCGTACAATTTACAAATTCCTTAAAAATAAACAATTATTTTATTAAGCAAAAAATATACAAAATTATTTTACAAGCTACAAACTAAAGTATAAATTTGCATTATTTACAATTGTCAAGATATTTAGAATACGTGTTGTTATATTCGTAATTGTTTAAATAATAAATTAATGTATTGATATATGAATTAAGTAATGATTCTTAAAATATTTATTATTTAACAAACGATTTTATTTATTTATCTATTTACATGTGCTACGTGTCAGAGGAAGCCTTAATTAATGATTTCTGTAGTGTTTGTTACATATTCATCTAATTATCCCGGCGTCTTCAAATTTGAGAGGTTGATAGAAGTTTTCTGCAACAAAATACAAATTAAATAAATTAAAGTCAACTAAGCTATTTACGCTTCTGTTTCCTGTGTGTTATTCAATTATTATCTAAAATAAGTAAATCAACACAAAAAGTGAATAGAGAGAAATATGTAGAAACCGCAATTTGTAAGGTAATGCTATACAATTTCATCATTTTCATCAGGTTTTTGCGTTCAAAGAGCGCTTTTTGGTATATCCGAAATTAGCTTCTTATACAAGCCGACATAAAAATGTTCTCTCCATTAAGATCGAGAACATCAAAAGGACGGCCGTGTATCAACCAAAAATATTAATGTGTTCATATTACTGTACTAAACTATATAAGCAGGTGTACTTACATTTATATCTCCTGTTTCGTACTCAATTCTGTAAATCTTGATTCTTCATCTATTAGTTGTAAATTAACATTCTCACTCCTTGAATTGAAGGAAGCGGAAACTGTTTTATCTTCTAAAATTATATTTTCAATTTCAACACCGCTGTCCTTCTTTCCATTGCCCTCGAGTATTTTCTGTTTGAACGACGGCCCTCTGTTGAAAGACGAGCCCAATAAAGTCTCCTGGATTGTTTCATTGCCGTTACACACCCTGTCGGATTTGTTTGTGGGCATTCGACCGGAATGATAGCTATTCCTAACGCCTCCCGTCGATTCGAAGAACGGCAAAACTTGCTTGAACTCCTTTCTAAAGTTCTCGTTCAACCACGCGTAAAGGAATGGATTGTAGCAAGTCGACGCCATCGCCATGGAATGTGCCAAGAAGAATGATAAAAAGTAATAATTCCATTCGTTCATTTGTGCGCAGAAATCGTTGAATATGTTTATAATATTTAATGGCAACCAAGATATTCCGAATATTGCTACCATAGAGATCAGCATCTTATTCGTTCGTCTCTTTCTATCTCTATCCGCTTCCTCTCTTCTAGTATTCTTTGCACCGGGCTTAGACCGTGCTCTATCATTAAGTCTTATACTAACACAGGTATAGCAGACAGCTATTACTAAGAAAGGTATTAGAAACTGCAGTACAGTTGTGAAAACGCCAAATATTTTCCTAGATTTATCTGATGGCCAACTTTCCTCGCAGTATGTTTTGTTATATATAATTTGAATGCCCATGAAGAGGCCGTACGGACACGTAACGATCAGAGAGAATAACCAAATGAATACGATTATATAGATACAAGTATTGAGTTTCATCCGAGGATGGAAAGGGTAGATGATTACGAAAAATCTATCTATGGCTATAGAAGTTAGGGTTAGACTTGATATATAAACACTGGTGCCTTGAGCGTAGGGCATTAGATGACAAAGGAGTCTGCCGAACACCCATTGTCCAATGAATGTGTACATTGGTGTAAGAGGGACTGCGAACACACATAGTAATATATCAGATAATGCCAAATTAGTGATGAAAAGGTTAGTCACGGTTTGCATAGCCCTGTTCCTGAAGACGACATAGCAAACTAGAACGTTACCAAAAACTCCAAGTACGAAAATAACAGTGTAAAGAATACAGAAAGCGACTTGTACAAATTTAACATCGATTATATCGATCGTTTTATTCGATTTCGGTTCATCGATTACTTCAACTGATTCTCCAGTGAATGTCTTCAAAATCAGTACTCGTCCTCCCAAATAGGATGCTAAAGTACCGTTGAAATTCATAGCAGCGATTGAGTCATATTGGTCCGCGGAAAGCGACACCGCGTCGTTGAATATATCATTGTCGGTGAAGAGCATGCTAACTATACTATAGACTTTCTTCTACTCGATACCGCTTCTTCCTCGTACAGCATCTGTGAAAAAGAACAATACATCATTAATACATTTGTCATATACTATTTAAGTTTAAGGTCGTACGAATTGTAAGCGTGTAATAAAATCAAACAGTCAGAATATTATTGAAATCTGTACATATATTGAATTAAATATAAAAGAGATAGTATGACAAAAAACATCTAAATATGCACACCTTTCGACCACTGAAAAGCAACGTTATCTTAATTATCGTTAATAAAAAAATAGTAAAAAATCTCATGTTGTGTTACTCACTACATGAGATTTTTTACTATTTTTTTTATTCACGCAGGCGAAGTCGCTAGTGACAGCTAGTATCAGAATTATGGTGAATACATACACAGTATTTCATCCATAAGGATCCCTACCGTTGCGTAGTAACGCGACAGTTAAAATGTAATCACAGTACGAAAACGTTCGCAATCGTAAAAAGGAAATTAATGCTGTCACAAATTAATGGACCGCCCCCGAATCTTACGCAGGCAACGATTTACGTGATTACTCTCGTTGTGAAGGTCCCAACATTGATACAGACCGTCTGCGTAAGCAATACAACTGAATGGAATCAATTCTATTCAGTTGTATTGTTTGAAATTAAACGGATGTATTTACTGTAATTACTAAATAACATAATTTACAGTAAGTTTTATGTTGGTTATAAAATTTGTATATTTAGTACGTATACAACTACGTTTAGACTTTCCCTTGTCTTTCTTATGTTAAGTTGCTGAAGTTTACATTTATTTAATACTAGATTTCGGCCGCGACACTGCCCGCGTTGAATAAAAAAAACAAAAGTGAGCCTATGTCTTCTTTCAGACTATCCTTTACATCTACACCAAATTTAATCGAAATATGTTCAGCCATTTAGACTGCAAACTCTAACAAACATCCATCTATCCATCTAAACTTTTGCATTTATAATATTGATTATTTACCTAGTGTTTCCTTAATTGAAATGTAAGTTTCAAAGGAGTAAAACTCAAGTTACGTAGTTGAGAAACGCATTCAATGGTTATATCGAAAACACTAATGGTTAAATGTAACTGGGAAAGCGGCTATAATTTGTTTTTTTTTTACAATAAAAGGGGGCAAACGAGCGGCGAGAACACCGAGGTGGTTTTAAAAGTATTTGATGCCTTAAAGTCAATACGTAATTATTTAAACAGTGGTAGAGCCCGCTTTAACTTCTTCGCACGAATGGGCCGGCTCGCCCGGTGAAATACCACGACCACACAGAAGACAGGCGTGAAGTGGAAGCAATCCCGCATTTCGTCTGATGAGTGTGGTGCCGAAGGCCTAATTTTAGTCCCTTTCCCTTTCCACCCTTATCGTAAGAGGATAGAATGGTAAGGAAAAGTGGATTACGGTGGAGGAGACGCATAGAAGGGGAAATGTCCTCTTTATGTGCGTCTCCTCTTCCGTCAATTAAGGGTAGGCAACGCATCTGCAATTGGTGGATTCGGGTGGTTGCTTGCTCGTTTGCCATCTTATGTTATAAAAAAAAATGATATTTAAAAATCACAGAATTATCCGTGATTTTTAAATATCAATTAATTACTACTTAGTACTTTTGTTATAAAAGTGCGTGGGATTATTTTCTTTCATTCATCCTTTTGAAAAGTAAAACTAGAAATATGTATGTTGGAGTGAATATTTTTTATCCATTGTTATCATTGCGTGGCATTAGGCAATAAAGCTGATTACAAAACCTTTTTTACTGACCCGATAACATCGGATTCGATAGTGGTACTCATATAATATCATAGTAAATGTAACGAAACGTATGCTATGACTCGACATTTGTTCAAATGCCGACTCGAGAGTACACAGAATTACAACCTCAAAATTATGTAAAATTGTCCTAGTGACATGAATACAAAACTTTTGGTAATATTCTGATTTTGCTAATGTGTTGATTTATTGTTTTACCTAGCTTTGTTACCGTAAATAACCTAAAAATACCATAATAGCTGTCACTTGCGACTAAGCTTTCATAGAATTAAAAAAGCCAGTAGCTATGCCACAGCAGATCCGGAGCCATTCTGAACATCATCCATCAAATTAACTAAAATCTTGCATTTATAATATTAAGTAAGACAAAACTAAGATTTTGTCTATAAAAACTGCTAAGCTAACTTTAAAAATAATTTTATACTAATAGAAATAACAAGAAAAACACAAATATAACATGTTTTGGAACATATGTTTCAGTAAGAGAAAAACATGTATGACATTAAACCAAGCATTTGTAAATGGTAATAAAAACGTGTCTATTTAGTCTACCGTGTGTTCAACACATTCATTGCAAATGTTTGGAGGAACAGCGAACAAAAACTTGTTTTAATTGGTCGTAAATTTATTTTCGAAATGGGCCGACATCGTTAGTTCTAACTGTATGGTGTTAATGCAATAAACTAGCGACCACGATCACACATGATTTTAAATCATAATGAAGTCGAAATACACACTAGAAGTATGTTCTACTCTAATACGAGTAGTCCAACGTCGTAATACTAAAGATCCTAATATTTTAAATGCTGAGGATTTCTCAAAAACTCTCTGAAAAACTCAAATCAATTATTATTACTTAAGAAATTATCTTATTTGGGGTTATTTAAATGTTTTACTTCAGTTCTGCATCAAGAAGTGTGTCAACACAAGTTGACGGAAGTGAAGTTACGTTATATCCGGTCCGAGTGTCTCACTGAATAGAGTACGATGTACATTGACAGAATATACGCAAGAATAAATCCTCTACTGAAATACGACGAAATGATTTACGAGAGTAAAATTAATTAAACTTTGAACCTTCAACTTACAACTTATCTACAACAAGATAATAAAAATAGTTATGTTCAATCTTGCTAAGAAGGAATTGTGAATCATCGTTTTGTTTATAATATGAGGTGGCAAACGAGCAAGCGGCCACCTGAATCCACCGAAATGGAAAGCGACCGCTGCCCATAAACATTCGCAATTGCAGATGTGTTGCCTACCCTTAATTGACGGAGGAGGAGACGCACATAAAGAGGAAACTTACCGTTGTCCTTACAAAGGGTCGGCACATGTGCTGCCCTTCCATATATATCTATCAGCCGTCATATCTAAATCCCTTCTTAAGCATACTCTCTTTCACACAATCCATTACTTTCTTCGGTCTTCCTCTACCTTTGTAGCCATCCATATTAATTCAATCATTATTTAGTCCTTACGTGAGATCGACGCACAAGGTTTCGGCATCACTTTAACGGAAAGCCTGTAGCTTACTCTAGTTAATAAAGTAAGTTAAGGGCCTGTCCCACCACTGGTTGACAGGCTCAAATACCTTAAAAATGACGTCACTGTCAGATAAGGAAAATTCGATATTTCCATGAAATATTTTACACGTTAGATTGTTTTCAGGCAATTTAAAATTTGGTGGGACAGGCCTGTGTTATATTTTTTAATCAATTTAAATTATGTACGCATTTATTTGTATTTATCTTCTACAAGTCAAGTTTTAAGTTGCAATAGTTCATCGGATACTCGACCCTATATCTTAATCTATAAAACTATCAAGGCTCGCGAATCTGAATTATTCATAACTTCCCGTCCGACCGTAAGTCTTGCATTATACATCTTGTTTTTGTATAGGGGATTTTCTATAAAGGGATACATTTAATATTAACAACGAGCAGGCCTTTATTTAGAAACTACTAATTTTCGCCCGCGACTCCGTCCGCGTGGTATTGAAAAAACAAAATTGAATAGCTTATGTGTTCTTCCAGACTATCCTCTACATCTATGCCAAATTTCAACGAAATCCGTTCAGCGGTTTAGGCTACAAACTCTAACAAACACCATTTATAATATAATTAACCTTTAGTCATAAATATATAGATGTAGAGGATAGTCTGGAAGAACACAGAGGCTACTCACTTTTTTTTAATATCACGCGGACAGAGTCGCGGGCGAAAGCTAGTTTCATGTAAATCTTACATTTTTCATAACAACATACGAGTAGTGTTCTTCCTGTAAATGTTTTTACAAAGTTTTACTCTTGAGTATAAGCAACGTAGAAGTTGTTCGGAATATTTGAAATACAAGAAATTCTTGATAAAGTATGTGAGATAAATTTTACATTTAATATCTTAGCAAAGCGTAAAATAAAATGATTCTTATCACCACAGAGTAAATGGTAAATGATAAAAGAATCCATACACGATATGACATATCGTAACCTGATAGTATTGGATGTTAAGTGATTTTACAAATTCGTCATATTTTGTTGGATATCGTAACATTTTTGGAATAAAATGTATCACTTTATTGGTGGTAAATACATACCATACTGATATTCTACAAAATTTCTGTACTAAATTTGATTAATTCATTAACCTGAAACCAACTTGAAAATAGGCGAAGATGTAAGAATATAGAAGAAATGTCTGAAAGGCCCCGTGAAATGAAGCTTCGTTGACTCTGCCTACCCCTCAGGACTAAGGCGCGATTATTTTAAATTAAGAAGCCAGCTCAAACTTCACATAGCCTTTTAACCAGTTAATTTAGAAATACAAAGGGAAATGCTTTATTTTACAATGAAATTATTTGCACATTTTCCTAGCCTTGATATGCGTAAAAACTTTGCCGACGACTTTGTGACGTCACTGTATTAGTAAAGGGGGTCATCAGTAATCCTGTTCGTCGCTTAGTTTGACACTGTATAATGTCTTGTTTCTGTTTAACTTGACTGTTCCTACCTTTTTTATAATATAAGGTGGCGAAGGAGCAAGCGGCCACCTGAATCCACTGAAATTGAAAGTGACCGAAAGTGAAGAATCCACTGAAGTGGAAGGAATTGTGAATGTATATGGGCATGTACATGCATAATTGCAGATGCAATGCCTACCTTTAATTACGGAGGAGGAGACTCGCATAAAGAGGACATTTTCCCATCCTTTCCACTTAAGGAAAGGGTGGAAAGGGACTAAACTAAGCCTCTGACACCACACTTACT